GGTAGTAGTATATATATATATATATATAGTATAGAGAGAGAGAGAGAGAGAAGAGAGAGAGAGAGAGAGAACAAATGAACAGCTTATAACAATCAAAAAAATACAGAACTGACCTTTCAAGGATCAATCCAAGAATCAATACAATCAACCCAACTACCAGTGGAACACACACACATACACACAATGAGTAAGCTTACAAAACTATAGAACTTTTCAAACATTAATGTCTGTTCTTTTAGGTTTAGAACTGCTGGAATAGTCCTGCAATCCAGCCATGGAGAATCTCGGAATGCTATAAGAATCAGGATTGGTCATGGGTTGTTGAGGATAGAGTGTTGGAGGTGGGGTAAGATTTCGTTGAGCTGGAAGAGGAGGGAGCGCATTATACCTGTAATCCTCGCTGCCCAAACTGCAAAAACAAAAGCAATGGATAACAAATGAGAGAGAGAGAGAGAGAGAGAGAGAGAGAGTTCTGATGAATTTCAATAACACAAAGTACTATATTGCCCGAACATGATATCATTCCCCAAAAAATAAATGAGAACACATTCTCATTAATTAGAATACTCACTTTGTTTCCTTCATGTTGGAAGGTTTCCACCAAAGTAAAACCTCATTTCTTCAAATAGTGGACAGGAAATACCTTTCCAAACTGTGACACTTTTATCTCAAGATTCTCAACTGAACATAGTTGATGATGACTCTCAACAATCCACCTCAACACTGACTCTATTTTAGTAACAACAAATTTATGCAAATTCCACATGCAAGGTCACACCCACTTATAAGCCAGTGTGCTTTTCAACCACATCAATTTGCTTAACATTGTTCATGTGAAAGTTGAGTGAATAATCCCATTGTTTTTATATAATTATTCCCTCCCCAACAGAGATCCTTATAACTGATGTGTTAATCTTTCACACAAGCCCTTATGACTCATTCAATATGAAAACTGAGGTAAGTACGTTGCATAATTCCTCCTCATAGACCTCCTATGGATGGGTAAAACTCTCCTGGATACATCCCACTCATCATCACTCTTGGTCTCATGTTCAGCAATGGCATTTCTCTTTGCAAATTTTACTTTGAAATTGCATGCAAAGTGTTCATTCATTCACAAAAAAAATAAATATTTTGATAGTTTGTGAGACTTATTCACATCCTTGCTATCACCATGGTAAGATCATCCTATTTTAAAGAATTTCATCATCATTTTTGAGGAACAAATGAGAAGAGATCATGGAGACTCATAATCCCAGACAATAGTACTAACAATACGGTTAATCATGGTTTTCTTTTGAAAAATTCTATAAACACAAAAGTTGACCATGGCCCTATTACCACCTTCTCAATTAAGCAGCAAAAACAAATGACGTACGAGTGGTTGTGAACAAGATGGTATGAGAGTGTATCACACCCTTATGAGTCAAATCTCTACCATAAGAGAGACCAATTCTGTACTTTCCAATCATTTTAGGCACACAGACATAAATGCTTCATGTTCCTATTCTAGAAATATTCCACATATAAATAAGCACGGGATTTATATGAGTCAGCGGACTCTAATATACACATGTCCCCTCTCTAAAATTCATCTTAAAGATGGATTTTTTATCCAATTTTAAAGGTGATCATGAATATAAAAAAATAAAAATAAAGATTTTAAAATTTAAAATATACCTTTTTTTGTGGACAATTTTTACACAGTTCATATAGTATTTTGCTCCATGGCACTTTACACAATGTTCATCTTAAAGATGGACGTTTGTAGATCAGCAGGCTCTTGCCTCAGCTGACTCACATAAAACTTTTCAAATGAATAAATCTCTAAATTTTCTATGTTAATAGGTTATTAGGTTCCTCAAAAACCTTGCTTGTTCTATAAGGATTTCACAAGGCAAAATCAAACTGTAGTACATCATTTTAAAAGTTCCTTTTCCAAATATTTTCGGAATACTCTGAAGCTAATTGCATTCCAAAGTAGAATTTTGATACTGCTAGTTGGTCACCCTTGATAAGGACATTCTTAAGAGATTACAACCATGCAGACACTAACAAAACCAGAACTAAAACTAACTCAAATGCTTCAGATAACACAATAAGAAAACATTAAACCAACAAGAAATTTTGTTCAAGGGATATTTGAGTCACAAAAGTCTCACTAATATCTAGAATTTCAAAGCTGCTACTAAATCTCAACTCCCATGGGAAGTACATTCTCTAAATATTATAACTATGCATATATTACAACATAATACTCAGATTTGGGAACAATCTAAATATTTCAAATAATAAAAAAAAATATCATATTCATAAAAACAAACACATTGACACAGACATTGCATGGCAATTAGCATTGTTGAATGGGTAACAAGAACCTTACCCAAAAAATTTTAAAAAAACTTACCGGAAAGAGTGGGTAATAAGCATGACCAATATTTATTGAGCAAACATAGATACTGCAAAATCTCAGAAATAATTACTAATACTAATTATTGCTACCATAATTTAAAAAAGAACCAAAATTAAATAAAAATAATAAAAAATTTCTACCTTGTGTGCTTCCGAATGGGCTCATCTTCAGTTATACTATCATCTGAATGGTGTATCGGCTTTTGGACTGGTGTCAATGACCATGGATGTTGCGGCGGTGTATCATCAGGAAAGTATCTTCTCCTAATCAACTAACAAGAGTAATTAGACCAGAGTGAGAATTCTAAACAAAAATTATGAAGAAAGCCAATGAAGATCGAATTTATCAAAAAAAGTCTATTCAATTTCTTAGATATTGATTCCAATAAACACCAAAGTGACTCCCTCTCTCTCTCTCTTT